GAGGATGTAGCAACAATGTGTACTTGACTGCACATCTACAAATCCTCTAAATAGTAAAGTCCTCACCTTTAATCTTGAATTTTTAAAGTGTTCTTGTTTAAAGCTGCCATCATCAAGCCCGAAGACAGAAACTATCACAAGGAAATACTTGACAAGAAGTGTTCCATGCAAAATGCAAGGTGACTTACCTGAAACCATTTTATGCAGGACGGCATAATTGGAACCACTAATTGGTTCCTGAGTTTGTGGATGCCCAGATCACCTGTACTGCACTGAATTTGAACAATTTAATAATTGTCAACTATGTTGAAGTTCTATTGAGAGTGGCTAATCCACAATTCTTTCTCTTGTTTCCTTAAGTCCAACGACAAAAGCTTCCTGATTTTTTATTGCAGTATTTTTAAAATTCCTATTTCTTTAGTCAAGTTTCTTTCAGATCTGTATTTCAGGACCAAAAGAGCATAGCACATTGCCAAATATAACACTGCATTAATTTTCCTTGAATATGAATAAGGTTTTCCTGAAACACAAAAAATATCCAACTACTGCTTTTAAATCATGCACAGCACGAAAACATTCAAACAGCCTGGATGAGAAAAACAGCTTCCAAGAAGCCTTAGGTCAGAAGTCTTAGAGAAGTTTTCATGGCAACACGACAGAGCTCTTAAAGAAATGTGTACTTTAGAATATAATTGGAAATGCAGAACAATAATTTTCATCTTTCAGTCCCTTCTCTACTCTTCTAATTTCACTGTGCCTGCTCTACGTGTGGCAATAAGAGGATTACTGTAAGTGAACCTGAAAACCACCATGTCAGGGATCTTCCACAGAGGTTTAGCATTCATTTCAAAAGAATCTTCAGAGCATTTGTTCAAATGTGCCAACATTTTATTCCAATTAAGGCAAGATGTAACAGCCTAAACATAAACTTCCAGTTATGGAATAATAACTACTCAAAACTAAACAGGAGTGGCCATTACAAAGGAAAACACATACTTTAAATGTAAAGAGTATCAAGAAAAAGTAACATGAAATCAAGACAAAACATTCCAGCTCTACAAACTATGAAGTGCAAAGAAATGTGCATTTTTCTATACTAATGTAATTTTTTTTTTCATCTATCAGTCTTCAATGGGATTCACAGGACTGCAGCTCTACTCCAGAAGTCTCTTTAAAAAGGCAGTGCAACTCCGCAGGATTTTTGGTTTTTAAGTTTCTTACTCTCAGGGTGAGTAAACTCACATTGGGACTTGTCCATCAAAGCTAGACACCTCTTGCCAAATGCATCCCAAACTGTATTAAAGAATTAGAATAAATTCTCCTTCCAAAGCATACATGCAGATGCAACCAGGGACAATATGCAGACCAATATTTGGATCTGAACTACCAGTGCTATCGGTATGAGCTGTCACAAGCTGAGCTTGTTCTGCCCTCATTGAATTGGTGTCAGAGATACAGAAGAAAATTTTTACAGTCCTCCTTCTGACATAAGCTGCATTTCAAGGGACACTCACTGTAACAGAGATAACAGACTTAGTCTGCACTCACACCAAAATACTGCATAACTAGAGTGAATCTTCATCAACATTGCCAAAAACTTTCATTCCTAATTTCTGCTAACTCACTATTTAAGACCTAGAGATACTGGAACACATGAATGACAGCAGACTGGTGACAGTAGAATACGTCCCCAGGGTTCCCTCTCCCAATTTTAAAATAAAATATAGCAGGAAGAGGGAAAAGATGCCCACCACAAAAGGGTACTGGACTTTTATGTCCACATTTAAGCACTTGAAAGCTGCTACTTTTCTCTAGGCACATCTAAACAGTCCTGGACAAACTCTACAGCCACAGTGAACTGCTTTTGGGAGTCTCGCTGATGAGAGATGTTCCTCACACTTGTACAGACCAGAATCACAAGTGGTGAAGGACTACACAGAAGTGGGGCTGTGTTATGGAAACAGCTCAAGTGGGGGTAGGGGAAGTCCCCAAGATTTTCCCTCTCTTTTTAGTGCACTGTCACAGGTGGTCCTGGAGACCTTGTTGCTGTCCTTTGCCTTCTGACAATAAGATTGTCATCCTTTTTCTCTTAATCTATTTTCAGATTTATGTCCATATTCAGAAAACACCAAACAGGTGTTTGGGTTTTTTTAATCCGTTTATTTCTTCACTGCTGCAAAAATATGGCCCACAACATATTCCCACCTCAAAGTCACAAATGTTCTTCATCCTGACGCTTCAAAGCTCTTGGCCAAGACACATTGTTTTCCAAGGACTGGCACCTGTTAACAAAGAACTGCTAGATAAGGCATGGAATGGGAAATGTCCATTTCTTCCTTGAGCTGAAAAACTGTTGAAGTTGGAAAAGAGGAGAATGTAGCAAGGGTAAGAGTTCAAAAATGAATGCAACTGCCTACTGCCATCCACATCACACAACTGGTGACTTCACTTGGGCTTGAATACATACTAGCTTCCTTGTGAAATCCATCTAATGTGTTTTCAAGCCATGAGTTAACAAAAAACAGAGTCAGCTGTTTTGGTTCTTGGAAAGATATGATCCCTGTAAACAGCCTCTTTCTCAGATAACGCTCTAACCCTGCTGTCAGTGGTCTAATTTAAAGGCACTGGCTTCAGCACGTGGTAGGAACATGCACTTCTGGGCGATCAGTCTATTTACATATTTATGTGTACGCACAAAGGTGCATGATACTGGGGTAGCCAACATCCTGCCAACCACTCCTTTGGGTGCAAAAGTGATATACAGACCTTGTGTGATGCTGCTGCTCTCCCACCACTAAATATGGAGCCTGTTCCAAAACACTGCAAGTACAGTATGTTGCAAAGGGTCAGTGAAATTCCACTAACTGCTCCATAGTGTGCATATTTAACATTATGAGTCCACCACCTATGCAATTCACTCCTCCTAAAAGAAAGGTTTTCTTTCTTGAGTCATATGCCCACAGTCTCTGACAGGACCATGTGTTACATCCTGGTAGAGAATATTTTGTAGTACTGAAGTGTGCCATACCTTTCAAATTGAGTGCATGAAAAATAACTATAAAATTTCACTTAGTTCCAAAGATAATCAAGAAGCAGGCTAGAGGTCAACATTTTGGTCATGGAAAGGAAAAGTAAACCAAGCAAGCTAAATTACATAGCTCTCATCTTGCCAAGTTCTTCTACATGCCAAACTAAACACAGACTAAACACAAATGTCAAGGAAAATTGTGAAGAAAGAAGAGCCTGAGGCTTCCATGAACCAGATGGTTTAGTCATGGAGATGGATGTAACTGTTGGTAACAGCTTTCTGTTCCTGTACCAATTTCTCATCTGATCAGTGTTTTCAGAAACTTGTAGATTCATTAACAGATACTTAAATTCAGGATACTTTAAGTTGCAAAAAAAAGGTTTGGGGTTCCCCCCCAACTTTTAATAGGGCAATTACAAAAAAATGGCAAAAGAGCTCAAGCACATGGGGATGCAGAAGCTTACAGGCTCTTCCCCTGAATTCCCAAGTGGAAACATGCATTTTGGCACATGCATTCCACAGAGTTCTTTTGTAGCACATGAAAAATCCAGCTTTTCCTGTAGCTGCAGAAAGTAAAGCGGGGGTCTCCCTTCTTATGACCATCCTTGGAACCTGTGCCTTATGTGTTACTTTTCTTGCTACATGCCACACCATTTTTTGTGAACAGTGGATCAGGTCTCCAGCCAGAGAACATAACTTCCAAACACAACTTTCCGACTTCTTATATTTTACTGTCCTTCCCTGCGAACTTGTAAGGTTTTAAAGAGCAATTTTTACATCAGAAAGCCTCTTTTATTTGTACAGTAGGTATTTGTCCTGTACATGTTCTTCACAAGATTTGGGATTGAAAAGGATATTCTTCCAAACATAAAAAGATGGAATATCATAATAGCATCACCATCACTAGCAAAAATGAATGAGAAATGGTTAAAGTCCCTCTAACTTTCAAAGCTCTTATTTCATATTCCTTCTTAAATAGCTGTAACCAGCAGCCAGACAACAAACTTACTTTCTAGAAACCCACATTTTCTTGAAATGAACTCACAGTAATGTGCAAATATTATCAGTGCTGGCTCATGACCTCACTGCAGAATTAAGCTGGAGAAGGATGTGGGCTACAAAAGACATGCTTCTAATGGGAACACTTAGGAACAGTCAGTCTTCAGCACCGTCAAAAAGACCAAATGAACATTGCCTGAAACACTCTTCATTCTGCAAAACCTGATATTTTGCAGAAGTATTGGCAACATTCATGTTTACAAACTTGGCAGAAAATAAATGTTTTCTTTAAATTTTTATCCTAGAAGTGATTAACACACAAAAAACTTAAAAAAATTCAAAACATAATAACCTGTTGGTACTGCTGTTCACAACCATGCTGGTGTTCTGACTCCATTCAGACCCCAACCAGTGCCCATGAGGGCTTTAAGTATTTTCCAGGGAAGTAGAAATTAATTTAGATGGCTTTGCTACACTAAGTCCCTCAAAACGGTTTCATACAGCCTTCTGATGATTGTGGAAAAACAGAAAAATAACTGAACCTCCTAAGAAAGAGGGGAAACATATCACCTTTTTTCCCGCATCAGCGGACAGCCAGTTGCTTCCTAGTTTTGGCTTTAACAATGAATATTATGTACGTACTTCATGAACAATGTTTGTAGAGTTCTTCCACAGTGTCCTCCTACTTGTTATGTCTGAGTTAGTCCTGTCACAGTTATTGAACTGTGCACTGGAACCAGGAACAGATTTGGTAGCCAAAGACCACTATACCATACCAGAGTTCTATACCTGTATTTTACCAATGCCATTTCTACCCCAGTGAGGCAAAAGCAGCCCTACTCTGATCAACTGCCCAACGATCTCTTTGGCAGACTGCTGTTCCTTAGACCTTTTACGACTACCATCTTACTGGTGTTTGAAATACCCACACTGTAGCACCAAATAGTTTTCCTTTTCATTTTTCCAGGGCAAGGCTCCCAAGCCTACTCACAAATGCTGAGCTTACCCTCCATCTCTGTGCCAGTTTGTTAGCTTTAATTTAGTCTGAACTGAAAATACAAAACACTCCAACAAATCATGACTTAAGTAAAATTTCCGTATGTATTATGTCAGTTACAGTTATGCAATGGCCAAATATTAGTAAATTCGTAGCTAATATTAAATTAAAACTCTGGAAAAAAACAGCGACAAACAGTTCCATGGCACATACCATTCTTACCATGGGGATAATGCTTACCCTTTGTTTAAAGGGACAGTGGAAACAAGTATAAATATAGAAACTGTCTCAAAACCGCAAATCTAAGCCTATGTTAATGCTCTAAACTGCCACTGACTTTCACTAAAATTATTCAGAATCAAACATAAGCAATGATTTAGGACATCAATTTATAATGTAATGCTGGTGACCCTGTACCAGTCAGGCTGGATTGGTTTTTGTCCACAAAGCAAACTACAGAGTGGCAATATTTTATCACTGGTCTTGCAAGAGCACATAGTATGCAAATAGATTTTTTAAAGATATACATACACATTTCCCCAAATTCAACTGTGGCCGAGTATTCTTCTCCCAGTTTTCAATAATTTTTAGACAAAATAAATACCAAGCCCTTTCTGTTTGGATGCTTTGCTTTGTTTTTCCAGCCTGAATGAGTCTACAGATATTTTCTTAGTTATACAAGGCCAATGTTTCACTTTGCAAACATTGAAGATGAAGGAACACTTGAAGCTTCAGCACCAGAAGGAAAACAAGGAAGAGTGCAGAGGGTAGCTCCATTCGGAAGTACAGAGCTATAACAATTACTGTTCCAGTTTGTTACAAGTAGCTCATAAAGAATTTTATTCTAAATAGTCCCATTGTTCCTGACAAATTAAGTGATTCTTATGTGGTATCACATCTTCAACACCTTTGAGCTGATACAGTTTGGATTCTTGCAGAACAGCAACACAAACCGGTTCCCCATAAGCACTGGAGAGATCAGAATACTTGTAATGTCTTGCAAAATGTCGTATCAGTTTATTCAGACCTACTTCCTTAGAAAAAGGAGTCTATCATACTTGGGAGTTTGTTCCTGTGACTTTTTTGTTGCTGGAGTGTTGACTTCTTAACCTAAGATTTTATTTATTTGTAAGGCTGAATGAGGGTAGGGAGAGAAGAGAAGCACCGTAATATTAGCAGGTTAATTAATATTACTTGTGATGACATTGATGATTTTCCCTGTTCACTGATGATTTTCCCTGTTTGTCCCCCATTTCTCCTTACTATTCTCATTTTGCTGCCTTTTTCTTTTTTTCCAGAGTGTTGTCAACAGAGTTGTGAAAGTTCACTCTTTTGAGAGAACAACATTGCTGATTTCCTCTAAGTCTTTGCTTCCATAGGAAGCAGATAACTGGCAGATTTGCAAGGGAATGCTAAATCAACTATGGAAGTTCTGCACTGTTGTCTGTTTCTGAGAAAGCCGCAGAAGTTCTTCTCTGATTGCTTTGATAAGAGAGGCTGAAGAGTGACCTGGCTGGAGGTCCTCAGTGGAACTGGTGGTGTAGCAAAGGCCCTGGCCCTGAAGGCTGTTGTGTGGAAGCTGAGCAGGGGGTGCCGAAGGCTGCTTGGCTGAAGTCCTCGGCATCTGGAATACTGGTGAGGAGGAATATTCTTGGTGCCCATGCATATGCGTCTGGAAAAAGGTAGAAAGCATTATTGTACTTTCTGAACAAACATGGTAATACCAGAAAAGACAAGAAAGCAAAAAGGCAAAGAACAGAGGGAAAGCAGCATGGAGATGCTTCTACCTGCTGCCACTGTCGTTCTGTTGTATGAATGAGTGATTTTTCTTATGGAGCACAAAACAAGAAGTGTACACAAAATTGCTGGACTGCCTCAAGTTCAGGGATTTTCAAAATCTTGTTGAGCATCCATTAAAAACTCTGACCCCCTTCTAATCTATGGTATGTTTAGATACTGAAGTGGAATGAGGTGGGGAGAAAAAGCACCACAGAACTGGAAGTCAACAGAGTTGGCTTCTCTTCCCTTGCTTTTCCATCAACTTCTTGAAAGACAAAAGGCAAATCACTCTCTTCCCAGCTATCATTTCTCCATATTATCTATAGAGATACTACTGCTTTCACCTAGCCATTCTCTGCCTGGTTTGCCTGTTCAGACTGTACACCTGTGAGGATCCTGTGACTGACCAGTGCCCAGGAAAACATGGTCAACAGAAGAAGCAGCAGGAGAAAATTATTAAAATCAGAAAGATTAGATTTTTCTATACCCAACAGCTGTTTTACATATCTGAGAAACACTGTTCTAGTTTAGGGACAATCACTGTTTCAGGGTAGAAAGGGGTTAATTCTGCATTTGTTCAGTAACAGATTTTCTAACAAAACGAGAGAAACAAAACAGAAGCTTGAGTTTAAGGGGTTGTCTATCTGGGAAAAAAATCTGCTTACACTAAAACAAAGCATGAATTTACAGTACACTAGATGACTGCACTGACTCCCAGTACAGACACAAATGAGATACGTTTTGAAAATCTAAACTCCAGCTGACATCCCTAAAGCAAGCGTTTCCTCTTGCCTTGTGCTGCTGCAGACTGAGAGACAGCCAGAAGAAAACACGGGACACAAAGGACTCGAACACACCTTGCTGAACACACAACTGGGAGCAAAGCAGGGCAATCCCCTTTCAAAGGGTCGGCGCTGGGGACGAGGGGCAGCTAGCTGCAGCAGGTTCAGATCACAGTCACCACCATTTACTGAGCGCTATCTTTCCCTGTGGATAAACCTTAAGTAGTAGCAGAGAGAGCAATTTGCTGAGGGACGAAAGGGCAGCAGGATCAGCTAGGAGAGGATTTAGGGGTCAGGGGGAGGGGAGTGAAGGGATTACAAAGCAGAACCTGGGAAGGATACAGGGGACCTAGAGGGACTGTGGCAGTAGTGTGCAGGGAACGCAAAAATGCATGAGAGTATGTTCCTTAACATCTCTCAAAGAAATGAATAAAATCTAAGCCATTTTGTATAAAGCAGAACTAATAACAGATGCGGACTCTCTTGCACAGCTCGCGTACAGCACTCATCATTTACACAGTTAATTTGGGGAGAGAGATTAAGAGGAAAAGAGGCTTTAATAGAAGAATGATAAGTAAAGAAGGTTTTACAAGTAACATCCTGCCTTACTTCTTCTAAAAGGGAGGCGTTTTTTGTATCAGAAAGGAATGAATGGGTTTCTTGATTGCCCAAAATTATTAATTTGGCAGTGAAACCCGAAACTAATTCATACGTGCAGTTTCAAGTTAGCAAACCTGACAAGCACTCTGTGGGTTTATACAAAAGAGATGACATAAAAAAAAATATTCAAAGCAAACATTCCTTGACATGAGTATTAACAGCAACCTAAATTATGTTCAAGTTACTTTCACATTAAAATGCATTATGTGATTCAGCTTCTATCTCATACTGCACTGAATTAGCACTATAAGAATGGTTTCTTAAAGGAAATTAGAAGAATATCTGATGACCGCAGGGGCTGCTTTTTATCATTAAGGCTATGAAACTTTTCTTAAATATCTCAGAAAAACAAAAATGTGTATTTTGTGATCTCATATATAACATCAGAATTAAACAGGTCCAAGAACTTTCAAAACCACACTGGTTTAGAAACCTAACCTATACTAAACTACAACAGCAAAATAAGGAGAGTAAAAAGGCTGGAAAAATTTTTGCTGTTTTTTCTTTACTTTTAAATTCCTTTATTAACAGAAATACACATTGATTTATTATATAATATTATATATGTATATAAGTAACAATATATAGTTTTATATAGTATCTATAAATTATATGTTTTAATATAGAAACCTCTGTATAATTAACAGCAGTACAAAATAATTGACAAAAATATCTTCTTAAGGAATGAAGATTTGAGATCACATTGGGAATCTGTTAATCCATTTAATAACTCTCGAACTCTGTGGCCAATTTCAACTGAATGGGACATATAAATATATACACACATATACATGTGTATGTATGAACAGATATATACTATAAAATTAATAAAAATAGCTAGCTAATTAGATATAACCTGATTTGTGCTGTTATTGAATCTGCTTCTGAGTGGCAGAAAGGCCAGGGTAGGCTGTGCTCAGCTGGACCTGTCAGCCAACATGTATCTCACAGGGGACAGATAGCTAGGGGACATGGGGGACAACTTGAAGTACAGTGGGCAGCTGGAGTATAAAAATCAAGTAAAAGGATAAAGGTGGCTTGGGGGAAATACTGGAAACCTGGAGAAGACTTGGGAGAACAGTGGAGAGCTACAGGGGACTACGGATGGATAGGAGGAGATGCCAGGTGGTGGTAGGGAGGTAGAGATATGCAAGATACTACACACATCTGTAAGAAACAAGGTTCCATTTGTTCTGCTGCTCAAATGACCACTTTCCCAGTATTGTATTTTGTGTCAGCTAAGGAAATGCTGTAATTATCCTGGTTGCCTAGGTCTTCTAGATGAAGAATTAAGGTGAACTGATGGTAACCTGCACACTGGTGTTGGGTCAGGAGACACAAGCAAGAGATCATATGCTAGCATAAAATCAGGTGTTGACTGCAGGAATAACAGGTGAGGACACTAAGAGGAAAAAGGCGATTGCAGGATCACAAATGCAGATCCCTCGAGTCTGCAGGTGAGAAGAGCGCTCTAGATCCAACCCTCCTAAGTGCAGAATTTAATTTTTAAAACTTGCTCAGAATGAGGGCACAGTAAGACTGTTTGCAAAGGATAAATTGAACCACCAGGAACCTGACTGTCATTAAGTAAATCCCCCTTTTCAAAGGGGGAAAGACAAATTTAGAGCTCTGTCTTAGGGAAGGAATCCAAACTCTGAAAGTAATTATTTAACTATAGAAAACTACAAGACTAGTGCTCATCTAATAATGTTGTTCGGGTTTTTGGGGGTTTTTCTGTTTTTTTTTTAATGGGAATAATTCTTTGCAAAAAAGGAAAGAATTCCTCATAGGAAAAGGAAAGCGCAGGTACCAGGTGAGCTCTCCTACAACTAAATGACACAATATTCAGACAGTTTTAGTCCATGATCTCCTCCTTTTGCTTTTTTTTGTTTTTTTGTAGTAACATATGAACTGCAGCAACCAGTGAGCAAAAAGTTCTGTCAAAGCCAAGGAAGTGTATAAACTCTAATTAATTAAAAAAAAAGCCAACCAGGATTGAGATGACATGTACCCATCTGAAATGGTGACTGAAGGTGCAAACTGCAACCAAATCATATTGTATTAGGCCATGAATCTTTGAAAGTTGTGCAGGTAACTGATGTCAAAACCAACTGTTTGCATATCATCTCAGATAATGGGTCTGCAACTGAATTTTCAGTAATATATTAGCAATTCAAGTAATAAAATATTAAGAAAGTAATAGTTGAACATGCACTTGGGCGACAAAAGGGAAAGGCCACAGATCTAGAGAAGATCTAGATTAGAAAAGAAAGAAATTATAAGAAGGGGCAATGAATGGCAACCTCGAGATGCCTCTGAAAATGGAACAGGAGAGACACTAAAACCTTTCATGCCAGTGCTCTTCTAGATGTAAACTGAAATGATGATGTTCTTGCACTCAAATACCACAGTTCCAAGCACAGACAGCAAGTTAAATAAGGCAAATCCATCTTTTGGCTTTGACAATTAAAGTTTTTTAACAGTCTCAGAGTTTGTCTCTAGTGTGCCCAGTTCTCAAAAGCTGTATGCTGCTCCTTTCAAGTTCATTGGGAGTGGTGGAAGCTCAGTTTCACCAACATCTAAAGATGAAGTCCATCCTGTTGCATTTTCTTTATGTGAAGCCATTTTGAGATCACGCAACACTGCAAAGCAACTTCAAGTAGTGTGAACACACACTGCCCCAAGTATGCAAAAGGAGATCCTTCCTTCCTCCCTCAAGGAAGAAATCAGAAAAATGATAGTTTAAGCAAAGAGGCAAAAGAGAAGCATAAAGTTGTTGCTCTTGAGAGAACTACAATACAGCTGTCACAGGTCAGTCTGCTTCAGGATGCAAGTACATCAAACACGGACTGGTAGCAGGCAACTGAATCTTTCCTGGAAAGGCCATAGATAGTTGAATTAGAAATGTGAACCTCTAGAAGGACCACTGCCAAGAACACGAAATCAAGATGGCTGTCTAGGCAACACTGGTAAATTAATACATATTAATTTACCACATCCTGCTGACTGAGGCTGGAAAACAACTTGTTTAGAAACACCTCTACTATTATCTGGAAGTACGGACCTTATTCTGTTGCCCTGACTCCTGCTGTTACACCCTGATACAGAAGCCAAAAGAACGATACCAATACAAAGGAGAATGGTAGTCTGGGACAATTTAATTCAATGTTATCTACTTACAGTGATCTCAAAATAAAGAGGCATATTTCAAAGAAGAAAATGGAAAGCAGTATCCACCTCTGCTGGAGCTCAGAAGCAGAACTGTGTGAACTGCAATTAATGGGTGAAGGCCTCAAGTGAGAAAAAAAAAAAAAGGTTAGGGTAAAGTGAGAGGAAGCAGTTAGAGAAGCAAAGGTGAAAGAACAGCAAGCAAAAGTTAGAAGAGCTAACAAGGGTTTGAAGAGCAAAGCAAAGAATGTCAGAGAAGCAACTGAAAGTATTCCAGGGGGAAAAAGTTCCAAACAGTAATGCAGGAAAAAAAATACCCGAACATATCACTACTTTGGAAACTATGCAAATGTGTAACACAGTACTCACTGCATCTCGCCTAGCATATTCATCCTCTCCACGGTACTGGGGCCACCCTGGCCCCCCCGGCTGGCCATGCCCTGCTCTGCCTGAGGGGATCTCCACTTGTTGACCTCCGATCCTGCTAGCAATTCCCACCTGAGTGAGGTGCTGTATCTGAGAACCTTAAAAGCAAATATTGTTTTTTCATCTTTACACACAGTCAAGTTTGTAGGGCAGACAAATCACAACATAAAACTTTGTTGGAAGCAGGAGACAAGAAGAAAGTGGAGCTCTGTTTCTGTGCAATTAATAAAATAATAATAAAAAAAAAACAGCAGAAAGAAGGCTGTCAATATAGAATAAAGAAGGAAAAGTTACATGCATTTTGTGCAGTTCATTTGAGTGTGATGCTTTTCATTGCCACTGCACTGAAAGAAGAGGTTGAGATACATACATCTTAGACATGGACTACACTTCATTCCAAAAATATGCCAGCCCTTTCCACACAGCATTTACCGAAAGCCCTGGCAATGCTTTCATGTAAATTACTCAGCAGCACAGAGAAGATATTCGCTCCTGTGGTACACCTTATTTGCATCACACTGGCAAGACCCTAATTTTCCAGACTGTTTTCTATTCCATCTCTCAGAAAAACAAAATACATGACTATACAAGAGTATGGTTCTTTCAAGCTTTGCTTTGCGGTTAAATATTAAACGATACTGTCATTGACTAATGAGAAGGTCAGAACACACTGTATCTCCTTTCAGCCTGAAAGCTAACCTCCTCCCTTCTCCTTTCCCTTCCCTCCCACTGCTTTCAAACACGTGCAAGGATAGCCACCACCATTAATTGTAAGAGACATGTAACAATGTGCCAGCTTTCCTTTTTCCTGAATTTCCTCCCACAGGGAAACAAAATCTATTTTATTATTATTATATTTTATTATTCATTAGAAATTAAACACATTTAATAAACCCACAGATACACAAAATAAAACTCTGTGTGAGTGTGTGTGTACAAAAAGGGAGGAAAAGGCAAAAACTACAGTGTGATTTATGTGATGGACAGTTAGGTTACTTTCATATTTTCCTCTCAAAAACCTCCAATATTTGAGAAGTTTGATATTTGTATGTAATTATGCTGAAGGACAGGAACTAATCATCTGAATTGCCTACAAGCTTTCAAGCAGAATATACTTAAACATTTACAGAACAGTGTGAATCTGACAATAAAGTAATCATCATTAAAGTGGAACAGTCACTACATCCCTGTCATTCTCATTCATTTAACATTTACAGGGAGAGGATAGCAGCTATCAAAACTAGGACTCTGACATGAGTATATGATCATATTCCCATTTTTTTTCAACTCCCCAGTAACAAAAGATTTATCTGGAGAAAATTAACTGTGGCATTTGCATAAGAACAGAATATTTTATTCTCAGAATCAGTGTTTGCTGCTTAAATGCCATGTGATGTTAGAATCTTATTCATGATAGCATTGATGAGTGCTACGGAAATTATCTCACAACCAAATCAGAGAAGATGATTTGACATGGGACAACAGCAACAGATAATATCATCAGAAGCTAAAAGATCCTGCTTTTATGCATACATTTCTAGAAAGAGAAATGAAAAAGAAAGAGGCAGAAAAGTATTTTAAAAATTGTTATTTAGCAGGCTGATTTGGAGTGCATCAGTTAGCTCATTTAGCACAAAAGAAAGTCGGCAGTGGAAAGTTAGCATATGCTGTATGCTCTAAAACAATTAAGTAGTTTTCCATTCTTAAGGAGTGGTTTTGTTTTGTTTTTTTTTAAATACACTGTGATAACCAATGCTTGTAAGATAGTAAAAAGGTGGCAAAGCACTGCCTTTTTTTTTTTTTTTTTTTTTTTTCTCCAAGGTCCTATGGACCTACCTCACTTTGTGATCACTTGTTTTTGGCAGTGAAGACAAGGACCACATTTCAAGTGTAGCAGCTGAAGGAGAATCACACCTTAATGGTGACCTCAGTGTAAGAGTAGATATGGAAAAGGATCAGTTATTTTAGTGCATATTCAGCTTAAATGAAGTGTGTACCTGCAGTGCTTCCAACTGGTCGTGGCCGTGCCACTGATGGCATTTCCTCTGAGTATATCCCTCTGGAGGAATACTGGACCTCAGGTGGCTGCTGGTCTGGGTGCATTAACTCAGCAGGCTGAAGAAAAGCTGGCCCAAAGTTCTGCCTGTGGAAAAGTAAGGACTCAAGATTACAATAAGTGAATTGCCTAATTAGAAGCAGTAATGCATGTATACCTCATACAACAATTCTTTATGATGCCTTTTAATATACATTTTCACATTAAAATGCTAAAGGAAATAATAACATCTGAGGAATATATTCCTCCTTCATGACTTGCACTACACAGGAATAGGAGTCAGAAACAAAATTTCACACAATCGTTTTTCACATGTTGCAGTCTCCCAGTGCAGAGAAAAAAGTCCACAGATCTTGTTTTCCCTTTGGGAAAAAGAAGTACCTTCAATGACAAAAAACCCCAAACATAAGTAAGACTTCAATAGCGATGTAGCTCCTTAGCCAAAAATTTGACTCTTACTCAAGAGTTTCTGGGCACACAGTTTTAGTTTAAATCAAACCATACAAACTGCATTACACATGTATTTAATGAACAATTTCCATTTTATCAAGCATTCTCATAATTTTTCAGGAAATTTTCAGAACTTTGCTCTTTAAGATTCATCAAACCATTCAAAGCTTTCGTATGAAGAGGTGCAATGTATACTAAAGTTAACGTTCCCTATAACTCAGGCTGACACTGGTAGTCATTGTTATGAATTTACTGAAAAGAGTTAACAACAGAAACTGTCATCAATCTAACTTTATTAATTGTGCCAAGGTAATGGGACTTGCAAAAGAAACCCTATAATTCATTCACAGAACAGGAGCAGAGAAGTAGATGTAAATGCTGCTTTTCCTATGCTTCCTATTAACATATCTTAACCCTGGCATGGAGAGATTATATTTTAAAAGACTAATGGCAGCTGAGTTTTCAAGGATCATTGATTTCTACCAACATGGTGGAAGTGTGGATGCCCAAACTTCAGGTGCTTAGGTTACTAGGCTAGTCTCTCTTAGACTCCAGGTATGATAAAAGAAGAGAGACACGCTCCTCAAGAGGCTTTCAAAGCAAAAGATTAGGTTCACCAAATTTTCTGCAGGCACCTCTCACTGGTGAGTATAAAGGAAGCAAAGTGAGACAAACATCCTAAATCAAGCACATGAAATTACACAAAGTGAGGACTAGGGATGAGCTTTGTAAGCCTTTTACCACAATGGCATCTTCTAAGCTATGGACTGCAACCTATCCCATTCCTCAAGACCTCAGTTTTACATCCTTTTGTTTTACAAGAAAATCTTGTGAATGCATCTATTTCAAACTATTCCGGATTTGTGCTTTATTTGAAAAACTAACCACCTTTGTATGACAGTCAGATAGCAAAGAAAGCTGATATAATAATAAATAGTCTAATAAAGCAAAATAAGAGCCTAATAAAGCATAAACAAGTAATTGTAAATTAAAGTACTAGCTACTTGGTATACAGTATTAAATGGAGGAGGTATAAAGGCTTCAAGCTGCAACAATTCCATTGTGGAAGTGCCAGAATTTCCACAGCTCCCTTGCCTACAATCCCACGTATCCATTCAGCGGATCCAGAGGAAACCATTTCCAACCAGACTTACAAGCTAGTTAAAATAAATGCCTGAATGGGTAGGTAATGTTTAACAGTGTCACTTCTGTTATGTTAATCACTGTAACCAGTAAAGCATGTGATCATCTGGCCCTTTATGCCTACAATGCCAAGCTGGAATCTTGCAGCTGATATATTACTACAATTTTTTGATGTTGTCTGAAGAAAATATTTTCTCAACATTACTGCAGATGCATTATTTTTGAGACAATTTTTCAGAGGACAGGAAGTATATACTTTGTTGCCGATCGGTTTGTACTTGAAAGATGCATGTTTTATAACACCTCATCCTGTCTTCTCAATCTTCTTTATAATAGCTAGATTTCACTACTCTTTAAAGCCAGAGAACAACAGAAGAGTATAATAATGGGATACAGCTCTGAGTCTGTATCATACAAGCTTTCTAGTGCTCCTTTCTACTTCCAGACTGAGACTCAGCCTTTAATTTATCTTTGCATATTCAAAAAAATTATTAATCTCTGGTTATTTAATTAAGTGGGGAGAAAATGCCCCCAACATCAATTTTACACCACTAATCCACTACAGCTAAGTACCTCTATCTCTGTTGCATGATGCAATATTGGTCTTCTGGTAAAAGATGTTCATGGTGCCTTTATGTTTGCCCAGCTGTTATGTGACCTAGGTCTTTTACATTTAATTTTTTTTTTTACCCAGGTTGGTTCCACCTCATTAAAGATGCTGACTGCATTTGTACAGAGAAGGGAACACTACAGTCACCCAACTGTTATTCCATGCATTGGATATTTAAGCCAATGGACTATGACATTGATACATGGCACCTAATCATACTGACCTCAGGTTATTTTTCCTTCCTCTCATTGGTGCACTGTTTCTACCAATTTGTTTAGCATTATCTTCTGAACTTAAGCATAACCCCCACTCCACAACCACAACTCTTTCCTTATTTTCTATCGACCAAGCTTTAGAAAACATTCTATTTCAATGAAAATTTAAAAGAATTCTTCTTGTTAAGGCCAACAACCTTGAGATTGTTAACTTAATCTGCTGGCAGTGGCAGAGCCAGCATTTGAACTACTAATAATGATGCCATTAATTTGCAACTTACAGAAATCCAGAGTGTTTATGCCACAGGTTAATATACTTTTGAACAAAAAATATGTTGCAAAGACACTATCTTGCTTGGGTGTATTAATATGGGTTACAGTATTTCATGATTAATTTATCACATTTTCCCTGAATGCGTAACAAGCCAACAAAAATAAAATCCTCAATAACAATCAATTGTTTATGCTTTCTGTTGACAATCTCAAAGCTCAATCTTCAAGGTAACCTAAATTACAAAAAAGACACTGCATGTCATACTGTGAGCCATTTCATGTATGCTCAAGCCACACTGAAACTGTCACCTTCAGCCAAGAATAAGAAAATGTGATTACAGACTCCTCCTCTTCTAGTTGGCCCTTTCAAAAGGCTGCAGAACAATGGATAAAGGAACATTCTTCATATCCATTTTACCATCAAGTTCCAAGGCAGTGAAGACTTCAGGTGAAATCTAATGAATGAGACCGATGCCAGTGGGATTTAATCTCACACGGTGAACTGTAGAAAGGCAATGAGAGCGCAGTACGAGGCCGTCTTTTTACCACCTTGGCTGCAGCCGCTTGGAAAGGGTGAGACAATTCTGACCACAGTGGGTACCATGACTCAAAGAGTCCAACTTCACGTGTAGTTAAAACACAGACAAGGAAGCAACAGACACCTGGACAACTATTTTCTTCTCTTTACATGATTCTCCCACAGCAAGACCAAGAGAAGATGGGAAATTTGTTCTTCCCTCTTGATTTTCTAATAATAGGTCTGCAAGGCAGGCTTTCTCTGCAAGGGTCACCATACTCTGTAATTTGTTCTCAACTTGGTTAAAAATAGAATGAATCCATTAGTCATCTGGAAGCGTTTGTGAGCGAGTATTGCCCTGAGGCTACAGAAACAAGATGAAAGTGAGAATATTGGGAGAATTACATGGATCTGAGTAACTGTTTCAGGCTCTCTAAAAGCTGAAACTCAAGTGGTTTACTCACTATTTGGAAGGATATCTCTATAGCCAAGGGGCTACAAACACATTGATTTTAAATAGAGGCTAAGATTCCATACAGCATGCGTATGTCATTCATGCTACATAAATAAATTATACAGGCTGGATCTGGGCTCCTGTTACTTCTCATTTATACAGTACTTTGCATAATAATATACCAGTGCCAGTAAGAACTCTGGAGGAACTACGAAGAAAATAATAAATGGTAATTCTGTCAGTGAAAAGCTACCTTGGTAGGAGACCTGGTGCTGTTGGCGGAGTCATTCCAAATTCCACGTATCTCTGTCAGAAGAATGAAAAAAATCCAAATTAAAATCAAAATGCATACCCTGGGAAGTCCACTGTCAGCCTTCTGGGTGATGAATGGCAGCAATCACTAGGCTTGTATGTGTGACTTGATTGCAAGCGTAAGAGCTTAGTTTTACAAACCCCACAGCACAAGATGATCTGGGAATCACTGCTACAGTAGGCTAGCAGTCTCTTCTGTCTGATCAGAGTCTTAACTTAAAATCCTTTCAAAAATACTTTCTCTCATTTGCAGAATATCAAGGGCTGCTCCATTGTCTACTTAGCTTAAAACTTTCAGCGAACCAAGCTTTGCATTTGGAAATCTCTTTTTACCTCAACAAGCATCAGACTACAGCAGAAAGACACACTCAGGCTCAACAGTCCAATGGCATTAAGAAACTTTAACTGAATTGTTGTGGAACTTGAGATTACTTAAAAGATTATCCATGTGTCTCAGTGCTCCATAAAATACAAAAAATCATACAGGGAAATACTGCTTCCCTACCCCTCAACTCCTGCAAGTATTTGGATGCCCTGCTGAAAAATATGACCTAAGCCAAATAACCACATTGATTTGGGTTTTTTTTTGTCAAAACATGAACTAGCACAAATTAAAAAAAAATAAAAATAAAAAAATGAAGTTTTACTTTTGGACTTAATAAGACTGATCTGTCAAAGATCATAACTAAAAAGAACAGAAAAGTTATTCTAAAGGAGCAGAACTCCTACCTTATGTTGTGTTTCGGATGGGAAAAGGGAAAAAAATCCAAATGGCTTAAAAAGCCAGTTCACCAACTTGTGATGGTCATTTCTGAATTCTCCTGGTTCCAGAAACTGTTCTGCATTTGTGATAAGTCCTGACAGCAAGGGCACAGTAACGGTGACCATGGCTCAACTGGTGCTAACTACCTTCCCAGACTAGCCTTTTAAATCGCATCACTCACATTAAATGGGTTGTTTACTGCCTGAGTTGGACCATAAGGTGATCCCCACTGGGTGCATGTGGGTCCCCTCCCTGCTCGAGCAGGAGTGTTGTTTACCGGCTGTCCTGCAGAGACCCCAGGCGGTGTGACGACTGTCGAACTGGCTGCTTGGCTGCTGGGAGCCACCAGCGCAAAAGCATCATCCAGCAGCGAGTGCATGGTTTGCCGAGCCTCTTCAATGGATGGCTGCGGTGGGACGTACTGGGAGACTGGGTGGGAAGGCAAGCCAGGGAACTTCCCCAGATCAGCTGAAGATGATGTCTGAGGTTCAGGAGGCAAGTCTGGATCAGACTGGAGGAAATAGAAAGAAGGTGAAGGGCAGCCAGAGAGAAGATCCAACCAGCTTGGCCAGCTTCCAAGCCCCTGTGGGCCTTAAGTCTAAGCAACATTTTATTTGCCAGAACCACAGTGAGACAAATAGCATAAGTACCAGTGCTGGACAAAACCTGCCTCTAACCCTCCCCACTTCTGCAGGCACGTATGCTTGCACATACATTACACCAGCTGTTCAAATACTGCACTCAGTGTGACATGAAACACTCTGACCTCACATAAGGCAGCTTTGTGCAGGAGTTACTCAGCTATAACAGAAATCTTGCAGTTTGCAAGCATGCAATGAAATCACGCAGAGACCATTTACTCCACCTAGAAAAAGACAATCTTTTGTCTTTGTAAGCTTCTGTCTACATCTTTGACTTCTCTGTAGCTTTTGCAGTTCCAAGAAATTAATTCAGTTTCTAGCTTACAACTGACCACGCCAGCAGCAATATTAAACAATTACTACCTCCTAGAAAAACACACAAAAGGAGCTGTTAAGCAACTAAGTGGTTAGCTGCATGGACTTGAAATTTGGTGCATCACCTGAATGTGATGCATGTAAGTGCTTCATAGCAGTAATACCCAATGCATGCACCACAATTACTACCTGGGATCTTACCACATGGGCTTATTGTTTATCAGTAACGGGAAATTAAAGCAGCTTTGCAGCAGCAGCCTTATTATCAAAGCTCATTCTTACCACTGCATGCAGACTGCAAAATTGGTTGTCAAGATGCAAAAGCCTCTACTTCATCAGGAACTTAGCATTCTGAGTAGTGTCTCGCTACAGATGCCAAAGGGGCTGAGCTTACTGTGTGACACGACTTAATTAAACAGCTTCAGATGATAATTCATTCTGCTGCAGCATGACATGAAAAGCCTCACACTCTTGTTTGAAGGCAGAGGGAAATCACAGAAATCAACACTGTAGTGACTTGAATGCATATGCAGCTAATGGTGAAATTCTTAAAATTATTAAACCATCTTTCAAGATGAAAACTGTCCAGGGGTTTCCAATATTAGCATTAGGCTTAGTTAAGTCTGCTTAGAAGTGGTTAAAGATGCCTAAATACAGTGGGTAACATGGATATGATTGAACAGACGCATTCTCCAGTGTCTTTGCCTTTTGTAGACAGGGAACAAAATTAATTTTCAAGACATTATACTAGAATTGTTTCAAGTTACTTCAGTACAAAGACATGTTTCTCTTTCACTAATAATTAATTCCCACATTTAAAGATTAAATTTCTCATAAAAGGAACCGAGTCTTCCACTCTGTGAGAGCAAAGGATGGAATTTCCTGTAACATATGAATATGACATCCAGCAAATTGGACTAGAGTGAAGCTCTATTCAACATATTGTGGAACGCGCCAAGCACACTTTCATATGCATAATACAGTGGCATTAATGAAAACAAGGTTTTGGTACTTGGCTTCTTTATTATCAAGGAGTACTTGGCAGAATTTTACTGCTTAATACTGACTGTGCCAATGAAATTCTCATTTCACTTTGACTTACATGCTAACTACGTGTGACTGAAATGAGCTATACAGACCATTGTCAGAAGGCCAAAAACCTCCCATGTCACAACTATCATTACAATTATCAGACCACTCCTGCCATTCAAGAGACATACATACAATATATGCAGAGTTATTGACTCCTGGAGGCCTTTTATATGTCCCGTCACTGTCAGTTGTGATTAACCTGTCCTTTTCCGCATCAAGAGGACTACCGTTTATCTGATGTCGCCGGCGCTGCTTGGGAGAACGTTTTGCACGAGAACTTGAATAGGAAAAAAACAAAAAGCAGAGAGAGAGAAAAGCAAGACAAAGGTAAACACATTTCTTTTTACGATTTTTCTTCTCATCCCACACAATGTTGATCTCCTCTGCCCATTTCCTCCAACCCATTCTTGCCTCAGCCCTGTTTCTTTTCCCTTTCCCATGTTTTCATGCCAGTTCAATTTTTTAGCCTTGAATCTCTCTCCTCAAACTTCTCCTAATAACGCTTTCATGGACAGCTATCCAAACTGGTCCCTTCCTACTTCAGACTCTCTCCAGTGTCATGATTCTTCTACATTCATCTCTCAAAGTTGTCCATGCTCCAACTCTGCCACTCCCAGTGCCTCTCCAGACCTCCCAGACCAACGTCTGACACATGTGCAGTAGCAGAACAAACCACACTGCCAACAAGGCTTTGCACTTGGCACGTTGGGTTTAACCCTACCAGGCAAACCAGCTGAGGAGCTCACGAAGCTGGGGAAATGCTACATCCTGTCAGTGCAGAAGCACTGATTTCTTCCATTTATATTTTCTGTTTATCTTTTTTAGCATTTATATTGCAATTTGATCCCACTGTATCACACAGGAATTATGCAAAAAAAAGGCAGAGCAAATACTAAATTGTTTAAGACACTTTTCATACATCTGGGTTTATTTATCAAGAATTCACCCCTGAGAACTTGTAAAAGAATAATTTGAAAACAAAACGTACTGATATATACTGAAATAAATAAAAATATTTAGAACAACCCAAACCTTTTCACCTAGATAACTCAAATCCAACTAGGGATCAAAATGATTTTAAGCTCTGATAGTTCAGAAGTAGAGGTTTGATGTATTTTGGAAGCTGACTCTAAAAGAAAACTGTTCTTTCCCATCTTTGAAATCCCTACCTCTTCCTGGGCTCTATGAAGACAGTAGGCACACTGCCTCCAGGGTCCAAGATCTTGTCAATCTGCATCTGTGCCTTGCGATATATTCTGTGCTGTTCTTTGGAGTCAACCACCACCACATCATCCACCACTGGAAATTCATAGTGCCCTTTGCGCTTGGCGCGAAGACGAATCTTATTGCGGTGATGCTCAATCTCAGATTTATGCCTCAGGGCTGTCTGTATCTTAAAGAAGGAGGGGGGAAAAAATATCAAGTGCATGTTTTATTTGGAGCTTTTGTAAATAGAACTTTCTGCTGCTTTTCTGTAAACCTTTCCTCCTCACTTCCCTGCCTGCCCCTACCTCCCTCCTCCCTCAAACCTCTGAAGGATTAAAATAAGTCACACAATTTGTAAACACACTTTCTTTCTTGGATAATTTGCAATATCCCCATGGTCTCCCCAGGTAGCTGTATTATCATACACAATACGATTGCCAGCACAGCAGGTGCAATTAGAGAGAGGTGGCAGTTTGTTAACAAAAGGCAGGAGGAACACAAAAAACTCCTGCTGTCTGCCAGAAGTGACACTGCTCTGAAAAAATAAGAATAACCAGTACAGGCTATATCTACCTTTGCTTGTCAAACAGAGGTGTATTTGATCAATAGTGTTGAAGTCTGTCACCCAATCCCTTTAATGACCTTCATCACTTCAGAAGTAAGAACTTAAAGAGCTAATTGAGCTCATAACTCAGTGCCTCTGCTGAGCATGAGAGGACACCACAAGCGATGCAGAAACATAGCAGCAGTTCAAGGGCCCAGGTCCCTAGATCAACATGGCGTTACGTTCATCACTCTACGTCTTCTTGCAGGCTGAGCTTTCATGTCTCTATCCCATCTTTTTTTCAGATTCCCTGGAGTGCATCTCATAATCTGAGGAAAGCTATTGTAACACTTCACTTTTAAGTCCTGGCCCAAAACTCACTGAAATAATTCCTATCAATGGAAAAGCCTTGAGTGCCAGACCAGGTAGCAACAACTGCTCTGCCTGTGCTGGATTAGTTTGGGAACACATCTGCAGCAGCAAATTAAAAACCAAATAAAAATTTATTTTTGTGTATTCTCTCATGAAAATCCCCCAAAGGCATGAAAGGGACAACTTACTCTTTACATTTATAGTTAGAATTATATGCCTTCTTCCCATATAATCAGACTTCTGTTTTGTGGTCCCTCTTGCCTATGCATACTAGATAAATGCATTTACCTGTCTTCTGCAAGGTACTCAGAAACACAGTATCTTAACACATTTAAGTTAAATGTTCCAGTAACCTTCCAGTCTAAATTATGAGAAGATGTCATCTTACACCCATACAAAACTAGGATGAAGGTACATGGTACTGTCAAGCAGCATATGATGTGGTTTTACAGCACACTACCTTCTCTCCTAATGCCCCAGGCATGCTCACATTCTGCTTACAGTAACGTAAGCCTCAGAGAAAGCAAGAAGTTTATGCATTTTTACTGTCAGATAAACACATCAGAAGTTGGAAGCACTTAATATGCTGCAAACTCACACCCCAGAATGCCTCGAGATAACTTGTTTGTATAACCCACATCCTGAGTTGCTGAAATGTCAAAATAATGGTGTAGAACGAAAACTAATGTGGGCCAGACTTTCCAATTCTCAAGCATTAATAGAACTCTTGTAAGTCATGTCCTAGCAAAGGGATGGTAACACAAAGTATCCTGACCATCAAAGTTGCTCCTCTCTCAGTGTTTAAGTTTTGGTTTAGTTATCCCTTAAAAACAGGTCAGATTATCTCTCTGGACAGAAACAGGATTATTCCTGTAACTTGTAAAAATTCAGTTCCTCGGGATCTTCAGATAACAAGAAACTGGATACTTCTCACTTCCCTCTTGGCTGGGCATGCAGTCCTCCACAAACATTCAAAGCACTTTCAAATACCTCTTTATTAATTTTGTTGGTCTCTGCTACTCGATCAGAAAGCACCGAGTTCTGAACCGGAGGTGCTGCCATCGGTTGCATAGCAATCAGCTGGATCTTGCTCGGGACCCGTCTGCTGGCATCTGAGGAACGTGACATCCTATCCACATGTTCAAAGATAGAAGCTGAGGAGTGCTGCTCATTTCCACTGCTGGTCTGGGGAGGTCCTAAATCACCAGAACAAACACAGAGTGAAGTGCTGCTAGCGTTATCTCAGTCAAATGTTAAGTTCTACAGATGCTATGCTACAAGATTATACCATGTTTTCCATCTGTGTTTAATTTGCCCTATCGGCCTTCCAGCTGATTCACATTTAGTGTACAAGTTTACCCAGTGGTTTGCAATTTATAAACATTTTTCCATTATATTTCCTGAAGGTGACCTGTCATTCTTTATTTCTGTAAATAGAGCTCTTGGCATTTGCAAACCCCCCAAAATCTCAGTCTACTGTACTCTATAAAAAGCTGTTCAAGTACATACAGCTAATGGTTCCTCTTATCAGTACTTAAGGAGATGCAAATTCCTCAAATAGAGGTTCAAAGAGCAATAAAAGATGTCTCACTGCAAAATGCAGTTCTTAAGCAATAGAAGGAGATATATATGAGCTAAACAAAAAACACCTTGGAAATCCACAAAAACCACAATTTTACAGACATTTTACTGACTAAAGCTTTCAAAGCACTGTTTTCTTCTCTGTGACAGGACAAACAGTTCACATAGTAACAAGTAAGCTGCACAACTATCACCATGTTGTAATTTGTTGAAGAGGTTAAATCAACTCAAATACTACCAGCAAAAGATGTTAAGGAAACCAATACAAATGAAAGTTGCAGCCCTGGTCTTGCCAACAGTTAATAACTTCAACAGAAATGTGTCATCTCTCTCAAATGACTTAAAACCTGTAGGGTCACCCCAGTGGTGTGCAGTTAAGCACATATTTAAGTATTTTTTTGCTGGAGCAAAAAACCAGGAACATTAACAGGAAGCATTATGTGGATTAGGCTTGCAGAAACTATTGAAGACTTGGAAAATAATCTTTTGTCTTGTCCACATGGTAACACCACAAATTCTCAAACTGCTTTTCACCATGAAATATAAGCAATAACAGATTCACATTTGTGACTCTTCTTATGGAGAAACACAACAGAGGGACATAGTCCCACATCCTTGCACAGACTTCTAATAACAGGCTGTGGTTCTCAGATTCAAATCAGGAGGAGAATCTGATTTGATTCCAGTAGAGAATCAATTGTTGATCAACCTTATCCAAATCCAACAGAAAAGAAGGAAAAGAAAACAGCCACTGCTCTGATCCATTTGCAACATATGTTGGTAATTAAGTATAGAGTTCAGAAGAGGAGTGAATGCTATCTTCTGTAGAAGATCACAGTAGATGACTTACTCCTTTGCTTCCCTCTTCTAGCACAAAAAGGGAGCAGGAGAGGGAAGGAATGGTACACCTTATTATATTCACAGCACATTACTTTTGGGCTGGAAAGCAATCTGGCCATAAGCTAAGCAACATTCTTATTTTCCATATTTCTCAAACTTGATCAATACATTGTCAAACGTAGACATTTTTAAATGGCATGCATCATTTGTAAATGTGACTTTCCTATATGTGTCCTTAAAAAGAAGGTAAACAGTTCCACTCAAGATCTGTGTCCCAAATGTTTTGCAAGACATAGAGCCTAAATGAAATGTATCTCTCTCTTTCTGTACCTATTTATATGATCTTCAACATTTGTTATCTTCACAGCCCCATCTTTATGCATTTCTTAGAAGCATGCAAACATCGCCTCTCACAGAGAGGGGCATAAGATATATCTAAGTAGTTAGTGTGAATCCTTCAAAGCAATCCTGTAGCACAATGGAAATATGAACTTGGGCGTCCATCCTTCTCGTTTTGCCCATACATTAGTAATTTTTTCCAACCCTTCCAGTCTAGCAGCAGTTCTCAAATCTTGCTGGCCTCCAACATAAAATTTTAAGGTTATTTTCATATTACTTGGTTAGCAAGGTCAAATATATTCAATTATTCTGATCATTCACTCTGAATCTTTCTAATTTCATCCAGAACCTTTCCTTTTGCATGCATAAACAAGTACTTGGCAGATGCCTCTTAGCTGAAATGTTTCTTAAACTCATTTTGTAAAACTGTCAAAAATTCCCAGTGTCAAATTCTAGTAAGTCTCTACAGTAACATCATGTTACTCTCTTTTGCAGAAAAGATGCACACACACCCAAAAAAAAAACCCAAACGCAAACCATAAACTGCATCTGACCTTTAAATCCCTTCTGTGTGCTTACACTAAATGTGTCTATAAATACAAATCAAGACGGAAGTAAAGTAGATAAGAAAGCCAGGAACTGCACAATGCTGCACAGACAGAACAAAAGGAGAAATGGTTTCTAACTCAACACATGAATGAGCTCCTTTAGAAGTTCTGACAGAGTGAATAAGAATGGTTTCTCATTTCAAAATTCTTATATAACACTATTGTCCATGGTTAGAAAATCTTACTTATAAAACTATCAGATGGCACTATAGGAATGAAATTTTGATCTCAGACTAGTCAGCCGAGGCTGAGAAGTAATGGAAAGGAATTAATACCTAAATACTGGACAGAACACATTTAAACAAACAGTCCATATAGGCCACGTGTGAGGATCAAAGTTCATCACTGTTCCCTGGGTTGAAACTACTAATTGAACGGAAACGTCAGGAAAATTAATTGCTCTGCAGGAGGTTATGATTTCCTATGAAAATCAATACAGTCAGAGATAGAGGAAGGTTACTGCTTCCTGCACCCTCTTAAAATAAAAACAAGACACACAGCAACCAAAGTGCATAAAGTCTAATCCAAAATTAAGTAAAGTCAATGGGAATCTTCCACTGATCCACTGGCATTTGAATCATGCTAGAGTATGAAGTTTCAGATAAATTTCACATTTTCTTTTTATTCCAGTAGATTATGTCCCCAGGATGCAGCTGATGATTCTCATTAGTTACCTGTACAAACCCAACAATGGAAAGCATCATAGCCAGCCTTATAGCCAACCTTCTTTACTATTATTAGATGGGAGCAGCTATCAGAGGACAAAGTCCTTAATTTATCATTAATATGACATGCATTATCAAAGATAGCATCAGTTTTCTCCTGTTCCATCTTTGCTATGTCTCAGTCCTGACCAGAAAAACACCAGTTCATGAAAAAATATTTGTGCTGCTTTGCAAGTAGCCTGCAAACTCTCAGGCTTCCAGTAAAGACACTAACTCTAATAATATCTGTAACTTGTTTACACAAAGCTAGTTTCAGGACCAACAGCTGCCTCAGTTTTGCTTCTTTCACAGTGATGTTTTCCTCAATAATTTGAAAGAACTGGGAGGAAATGAGAAAAATGTGCCTAAACTGGATGACTATAATTTGTGTTACTGAGAATTTTTTATACTTCAATAGTTCAAAAGCAATTTTGTTTTTTTACACTCAGAAGACAAATCCTTCCATCCTTAAGATACAGTTGCTGCTACCCCAGCACCTCTATTCATATTTGTACTCAACCACTAGCTCTGGTTACTTACCCACTCTGTTTGGTCCTGACAACATAAAGGGAAAAAGAAGAGACAACACAGTAATTATTACAAATAATTCAACTGGAATGCCAACTGGAAAAAACACATCAGTAGGATGATTTCATTTACTTTTGAATTAAATGCATGAACTAGGATCAAACTGCCAAGCCTCAGCTGCACAAAAAGGGAGCTGAATCTGTCATTTAACAGAGAGCTCTCTGCAGACTGTGCCTCCAATTCTGAATGCTAAAAATAGTCTATGATTACCAAACTAGAGGTACTAAATGCTGAAAAAATAGTATCTTTCATCCAGGAAGGGCATGACAGATAAAAAGGACACATCTTACACATCTGCCTTTGTCAGATTCAGATACAGCAATACCTAACACTTCTACACCAAAAGGGCATGTTAAACCTTACATAAGGTTTTTAAGTGATATGGAAAATTAAGAGACAAAAATGGAGTTCCCAGGTAATAAGAAGTGGGAGAGCACTAAATCAGCACAATAGAATTGAAGTCAGAGAGGTTGAAGCAACTCATAAACCATCCTGAGATGAGCTGTTACAGCATAACTGTTTTCTTATACACATACTTCGGCATGAGTTTTGGTCCTTAAAGCAAACTTAAGGCACTGAAAACATACATAGCATCAGTACAGTATCTTCTTTTGTAAATTGTG